GGTCTCACTGAGTTGCTTAGAGCCTAGGTTGCTAAAGCAGGCTTTGAACTCACAATCCTCATGCCTCAGCCTCCCAGATGCATAAATAACATWTGACACTGATATTGACATTGGTATTTGTTTATATTATAAATGGACAGAAGTAATACATTTCTTCTTGTGGATTTTAAARTTTGCTTTGTTATAGTTGTAATGTTATTTTCTAATTATCCTCTTGCATCATTTTACAGTTATTCTTAAATACCACTTTTAAACTTGAAGTGGCATCTTTTACTTCCAAGCTAACTTTGCAATGCCCACAAATTTGCATATATAGTTCATACCATTCTATATAATATGACATATACTTCTGGACTGCCCGAATTTGTATCTCAGTCCCATTCCTTTTAGAATGTAATCTTGGGGGAAATTATCAGTTTGTTTTCCCTTATTTATAAAATAGGGTTAATAGCACCTTCTATATAAGGTGTAAGAATTAAATAAAATTATACATAAGGGATTGGTGTTGTGGCTCAGTGGTAGAGTGCTTCCATAGCACATGTGATGCACTGGGTTCAATCCTCAGCACCACATAAGAACAGATAAATAGATAGCTTCCCAAGTAGCTGGGATTACAGGCATGCATCACTGTGCCCAGCTCACTTTGCTTTTTTAATCTACCATGATGCTTTGGTACTACATGTGAGAATTACTCTGTGATGTGGAAATGTATTCAGAGGTGTTTTACCATAAGCATATTTATTTTCAAGAATAAGTTATTGTCTTTTATTCTTAAATAATAATAATAATAATAACAAAATAATAATTATAATAATAATAAAATAAAGGTATTATGTTCATCTACAACCAAAAATATTTTTTAACAAAATTATACTTGAAACTGTTAAACACCGTATGGCTCTTGGTGGGGAAGCAACAGTGCTGGGGATGGTACCCAGGCCCTCACAAAAGCTAGGTGAGTGCATTTATTGTGTACGTGTGAGAGTAGTGATAAAAAGTTTGGTTTTGTTTGTTTATAATATACATGGTAAACAAGCAAAATGTCTCTGTGATATCTTTTTTTTTTAACTTATTTATTTATTTATTATTTGTATGTGGTGCTGAGGATCGAACCCAGGGCCTTGCATGTGYGAGGCGAGCGCTCTACCACTGAGCCACAACCCCAGCCCCTGTTTTATCTTTTTTTATTTCTAAGGTTCTGTGACCTTTTTCCTTGTTTTCTGTTTTAGATCAAGACTTCACAGCTCAAGAAAAGCAAACTTCAGTGCTGAGTAAGTGGTTGGCAGTCTGCTCTCTTTCAGTCAGTTCTAACCCATTGCATTATTCTGTCAATGGAAAGTTCTAATATAATTTGAAGCCATTCCACCCTCTTTGCTTTTTTTGGGGGGGGGGGGGAATCAGGGATTGAACTCAGGGGCACTCAACCATTTAGCCACATCCCCAGTCCTTTTTTGTATTTTATTTAGAGACAGGATCTCACTGAGTTGCTTAGCACCTTGCCTTTGCTGAGGCTGACTTTGAACTCAAAATCATCCTGTCTGAACTTCCCGAGCGGYTGGGATTACAGGCATGCACCACTGTACCCAGCTCACTTTGCTTTTTTAATCCACCAAAGTACTTTTGAAACTCAGTAATTCTCATAGACCAGTGCAAACTATGTAATATGTAGTTTTTGTCTCTTAGATGAAAATATATTTATTTACTACCTATTTTGCTATGAGAAGTCATGTTTACAGATACAATCYTTTGAGATTATGTTTTACATAAGAAACTGTTACTTTCATTGTTTTCATCCCTACTTTGTTTGTCCTTTCTGATCGATTTATTATATAGCACTACACTATGACATAGAAAGTATGTGAAATAATATTTTGATATGTATATTTGCTCTCAGGCTCAGGATATCAAAAAAATCCTCAGGAGTGTATTGAACAAAATGTAAGAATGAGGACTAAGATGCAAAGTAAGTAGATAAATCTCTGTTATTTGCTATGTTTTTTTTGATTATCTGCATACAAAAATATTTAATTCTTCAAATCAGCATTTAGGGTGTTTGTAAGTTCACTAATAAAGGACAGCTATGATTACTAGTTTAATTTCCATTTGCTTGGACTGATGTCAGATGAGAGAATATAGAATGTAGATGGTCGGGGAGGTGCTAGGGAATGATATTGGCCAAATTATATTGTTATGTTTTATGTATGTTCAAATAAGTAACAACAAATCCCATCATTCATTATGTACAACCATAATGTTTCCCCACAGTAAAAGAAAAGAATATAGGAAGTGGTATGAGAAAACCAGTGGATGTAGATCTAGGCTTGATAGGCTGTCAATTCTAGCAGCAGAAAACAATCTATACAATAATGAAATTGTACTCTTGACAATTCCTATTTTTTGTTTTTAGGAGACTTTATAAAGTAACCACTTATTTGCATACCCATCATTTTACATAAAAAGGGCTGAAATCCATAAATTGCATTTTCATGTTTAGGTTTAGGATGGATTAAATGTGACAGAACTTAAGAAATACCTATGAATTGATGTGATAGAATGATAATACTTCCAATTCATTGCCTATCATAATTTCTGTAGAAATGTGTTCATATTAAACCTTGACTATATAAAAAAATCCACACATGCTCACTGTCTTAAATGACCTTCATCTTCTGTCCCCTTTTTACTCTGTCTCTTGCTCCTGGAATGGTTAACTGTAATTAGATAACCTCTCGGTTTTGTCTTTCCATTAGTAAACTTAATAATGATCACAATTCATTTTTTTTAGCTGTGAAGTCTTGCTCCACATGAGTTCTCCAGTTGTCTAGAGCTGAAATGGTCTTTTGCCCTTGCCTTCTTGTTGGCTATCATTTTTTTTTAAAGCAGTGTATTTTTGGGGGGGGGCAGGGGTACTAGGGATTGAACTCAGGGGCACTAAACCACTGAATCACATCCCCAGCCCAATTTTAGAGACAGGGTCTCACTAAGTTACATAGCGCCTCGCTTTTGCTGAGGCTGTTTTTTTTTTGTTTTTTTTTTGTTTGTTTGTTTTTGTTTTTTTTTTTTAAGTTTTCGGCGGACACAACATCTTTGTATGTGGTGCTGAGGATCGAACCCGGGCCGCGCGCATGCCAGGCGAGCACGCTACTGCTTGAGCCAAATCCCCAGCCCAGCTGAGGCTGTTTTGAACTCTAGTTTCTCCTGTGTCAGCCTTCCAAGCTGCTGAGATTATAGGCATGTGCCACTGCACCTTGCCTTGAATGTCTTTTTCTAATTGCTATGTGTGCCTACTATTTTTTTAATATTTATTTTTTAGTTATAGGTGCACACAATATCTTCATTTTATGTGGTACTGAGGATCAAACCCGGTGCCTCATGCATGGTAGGCGAACACTCTACCACTGGGCCACAACCCCAGCCCATRTGTGCCTACTATTAAAAGACCATTTCCTCTTATAATTTTCTCTTCCTGAGCTATTATAGTTGGGAAACCAAATATTAACTATTCATCTCATTAGAATTATGTTTATAACCAGAATTTAAAATGAAAATTAAATTTGAAAACCTGAGATACTCTTTGAAAGTGAAAATGCATAAGTTTCAGGATATATATCAAGAGAAATTCAGAAACTTTTTATGTGATTTCTTAGTTCATTCGTTCTTTCTTTTATTTTTAATTATTTTTGTAGTTATAGGTGGACAACATGCCTTTACTTTATGTTTATGCAGTGCTAAGAATTAAACCTAGTGCCTCACACGTGCTAGGCAAGCATTTTGCCACAGAGCTATAGCCCAGCCCTCTTAGTTCTTAACTATACATTCTGGGTAGTGAGTAGCAGTTAAACAACTTACAGATAAGTGAAGTTAGTACACATCGTTAATAAAAAATGATTTTTTAAATTTTTTTTTATTATTATTATTTTTGGTACCAGAGATTGAACCCAAGGGCACTTAACCACTGAGCCACATCTCTAGCCCTTTTTATTTTTTATTTTGAGACAGGGTTTCACTGAGTTGTTTAGAGCCTCACTAAGTTGCTGACTTTCAACTTGTGATTCTCCTGCCTCGGCCTCCCAAGCTGAGGATTATAGGTGTGCACCATCGTACCCAGCAGAAAATGTATTTGTATTGTTATTTCCAATAATGAGACACTGTGCAATGCAAAAGGAAAAATAATTATATTGAACATCTAATTGAAATGCCAAAGAAACCTTTTTTGTTTCCAAATTGATAGCTCAGTTTTAGAATTCTATTTGCCTTCTGATTTTGGTTTAAGTTAGTATATTTATTGTGGCTTAAATACTTGTAACCATCTACCATATCTAGGTACTCTATTGAGCTTTGAGAGTTATGTAGAAGTAACATACTAGAAATATGCATGTAACAGAATTTTCAGACTTTAAACCACATGAAAACATTAAGATAGAGTAATGCACAGGTAAAAAATATTGTTGGGGCTGGGGCTATTATGGATCAGCGGTAATGCATTTGCCTGACATGTCTTAGKCACTGGGTTCGATTCTCAACACCACATAAGTACATAAATAAACAACTAAAAAAAAATTTAAAAAAATATTGTCAATGGAAATAGAAGAAGACTGCAATGACTTCCTAAGTGATCACARTTCATTTTTTTTAGCTGTGAAGTCTTGCTCCACATGAGTTCTCCAATTGTCTAGAGCTAAAATGGTCTTTTGCCCTTGCCTTCTTGTTGGCTATCATTTTTTTTTTAAAACAGTGTATTTTGGGGGGGTATTTTTTTAAGATCCTTATCATAGATTCCTCTTCAATCCAAGACATTTTTAACTTTTTTATTAGCATTCCAATTCAATTTGCATATCTCATCCTCTTTATTACACATTCTGCCTGCTTTGGTGAGGGAAAAGTAAAATTTGGGTGTTCAAGAACTGGGACTTTGGATCCTTATTGTCACTGCATGTTAGCACCAATTCCCTGGGTAAAAGGTCCCAGTTCACGTTTCTGCTTGCATCCTAGTCTTTGGGAAAGATGGAGTCACTTCTTCACTTTTTTGTGTATTTACAGGTGGTAAAATAGTGAGAATAGGGAAGATGTCTATGGATAGACCGGATCATTAATATATGGGTTTGGAATCTGTTTATTAAGTTGATGTGAAGGGAAAAAAAAAGTAGAGTTTGAAGTTAGAATTCTTTTTTCTCATTTCTTCTTTTCCTTCTTTCTTCTTGTACTTCTCCTTGTTCTCTTATTCTTCTTCTGTTCTTTCTCTTCTTCCTCCTTTCTTCTTCTATCATCTTTCTTCTTCCTCCTCCTCCTCCTTTTTCTTCTTTCTTCTCCTCCTCCTTTTTTTTTTTTTTTTTTTTTTTTTGCACAGTACTGGGTATTGATCCCAGGATTCCCCTATCACCGAGCTACATCCCTAGCCCTTTTGTTTTTTTATTTTGAGATAGAGTTTGCTAAGTTACTGAGGTTGGCCTTAAATTTAAGATTCTCGTGCCTCAACTTCATGAGTGGATGGAATTACCTGAGGGTGCCACCAGGACCAGTTTGGAGTTAGAGATCTCTCTCAGGGTCCAGTCCTAGCTCTTCCACTAATTAGTAAAGTGGAGTAAAGTCACTTAAGCTTTGTGAACCTTGGTTTTCTTACCTTTAGAGACAGTAGTGCTTAAGCTGGGTTGTTGTAATAAACTTACATGTATAAACAATTTTTAGAGTGTAACTCACTTAAATATTAAGGCTTTTTTATTATTAACAATATGTTGTGCAAAAATCATTAAGATGGAGAATTCATTCCTTCACTCTTGACTTTTGTGAAGTAATTATTACCATACTCTTCAGACTGGAAAAGGTTGATCTTTATCTTTTAAAAAGATTTCTTTCAGAATTTTTGTTACTGTTTCTAATAATTTGAATAAGTAGGATAGAGTGGTGAGTGGTATACTTTTTTTTTTTTTTTTTTTGGTATTCGGTATTAAACTTAGGGGCACTAGACCACTAGACCACTAAGCTACATCCCCAGCCCTTTTTTGTATTTTATTTAAAGACAGGGTCTCACTGAGTTGCTTAGCACCTCACTTGCTGAGGCTGGCTTTGAACTCAGCGATCCTCTTGTCTCAGCCTCCYGAGCTGCTGGGATTACAGACAATTTTTTGCCTAAGCAGTGTATATTTCCTATGCTGTTTTGTGTGTTCTATGAATTATATAAATACTATACATGGTACATATTAATATTTATTCATCATAAACATCATCATAATATAGCACATCAGCATTTTCATAAATATTTTCTCATTTGGTTTTTGCAGCCATATAGTGAATTTTTCAAAATAAACATCTGTTTGGGATTTTTTTGTGTGGTTGGTGTTTGGTTTTTTAGTAACACACTTGTGACTTAGATGAATTAAATTAGAAACTTCTAAAATTATAAAGTTTCTTAAGCTAATTTAGTAATTGAAAAACAATATGCCTCTTAGAGTCATGGTTGATGTTATTTTGTGTTATTTGGGATTTTTTTATCATATGATCAAAAATGAGGTTATTTCTTTAATCTTAGCAGAGCTAAATTTATTCCTCCAGTGTTTTGTCCAATGTTTCTCAAATGAAAGCTGTTGATAAACACAGGGAAAATCATTTATATGTATAAAAGTTGCAAAACTCCAGAGAAGCCATAGATGGCAATACTAAAATGTAGGGCAGACCAGTAAGATAACTCAGCTTATGCACCTTCCCAACCCTGGCCTTTCCTTCTGTCTCTTCTCTCAGATGTTAGATCCTGCTGCTATGTTAAGAAAAATGGAGAGGGAAAGGGAAAAGTTGGGAGAGTTTTTAATTTATTTTCTGAAATAATGAGAGAAATAAGGATKTAATGAATTTATGAGAAATTTGTTTTTGAACTTTGGAGTTTAACCACAAACCTAAAACAGAATTATTTGTCTATTAACAGAAATGATGAAAAGTTTTTAGATATATTACATGTTTGAAATAGTCAGAAGCCCCAAAGAAATATTTGAATTAGTTTGAGGTAGAATATAGTGAAGTTTGAGTTTTCTAAAATTGAAACAATGTATCCAGGTAGTTTAGTAATCCATAATCCACATTTTGTCCTTTCCCCCCCCTCTTTACAGCATCTTCACCAGGCAAGAGTTCAGTATATGGCCGTTTTCCAGATGGTACAGTATTCCTTTTGTTATGGTGTTCTTATTTTCTTTGTCTTCTTAACTTTGTCCCAGAATTTTACCAATCCCATTAAATTAATTATGGGTCAACTCTTTTCCTCATAACAAGTATCAAGTGTGTGCTTTGTGCTGCATCACTACATGCTGTAAATAACTATGGAAAATACARTTCTTATGTCTTAAGAAGCTTTCAGTATAATAGGATTTGGATGTCCCGCTTTTTCTTCTGCTCGTGGTTGATCTCTGCCTTTCCTCTTGGTCAAATTTGTATCTTCCTTGTCTATGAGAAATAAATGCTCAAATTATGAAATATAAGTTGATAGTCTTTTTTAATTACTCCTATCATTAGATGACAGCATTCAGAAATCAGAGCTTGGAAATCAGTCTCCATCAAATTCTAGCCAACGTAAGTTTGTTCAGTTTTTATTGAGTCTCTAAAATTGACCCATAATTGTTTGGGAATGTTTTGACAGTATTGTAACTTCATGCTATTTGAAGCACTTCAAAGGAAAAAATATGAATTTTATTAGCAAGGAAATTCTCTATGAACAAATTATATGAAACAACATCTAGTTTTCCCCATCACTTTGTCATCCATAAGACCCAAAATAAAAGTATAAGTAAAGCCAAAGCCTCCAGTGCCTTTAACTGGTTAACTGAGTGAACCATGCTGAATCAGCAGAAAGAGGGCACATAGCCAGACATATAATATATATATATTTATTTATTATATATAAATAAAAGCTTTTCTATGGGCTGGGGATGTGGCTCAAGCGGTAGCGTGCTCGCCTGGCATGCGTGTGGCC